GGCCTTCGGAGGGCCGCCGCTGCACTTCAAGGGCAGCAAGCTGCACCGGATGGTGCCCGGGCAGATCCTGCAGGGAGGAGACATCACGTCGGGCGACGGGCGCGGCGGCGAGTCGATCTACGGCCGCCGGTTCGACGATGAGCCCTTTGTGCGGAAGCACTCTGCAAAGGGCCTCCTCTCGATGGCGAACAGCGGCCCCAACAGCAACGGATCGCAGTTCTTCATCACGCTCGATGCGCTGCCTCACCTGGACGGCAAGCACGTCGTCTTCGGCCGCGTCGTAGCCGGAGTCGAGTACGCGGTCGCCATCGGAGGCGCGTGCGGCTCTGCCGCCGGCACGCCGGTGCGGGGCGTCACCATCGCCGACTGCGGGCAGCGCGGGGGGGGGAGCGACCAGGACGGGAGCGGCGGAGAAGTGTGATTGAGAGTCGCCTGTTGCATACGTCCAACGTCCTATGATGATATTAGGGACCCAGAGCATATGCCACTTGGCCGCTCTTCGTGTGGAGATTGAATCTCTCATCTGCAGTATGCAGCCATTCACTCCCCGGCCCCTCCCACCAAAAGGGAAGAGAAGAAAGAATTTTACGAGAAAGAATTCTGCAAAGGGGTGTGAACGGAGAGAGCAAACTCCTGGCAGCTCCCACAGCCGAAATGTGCGCCAGCTGCCCGCTCACCTGTGTCACGCCGCCGCGCACGCACCTCGCTATGTGCTCGCGCGAGCTCCCGCCCGAGCCTCCAGCTCGGTGTCCCACTGCTGCGGAGCCGATCGCTTCTCCTCGGCGCTCGCGTCGAGCCGAGCTCTCGGCACTCTACGGCAGGCGTCGCTGTGCGGGGCGCCCGTTTCCTGCTGGCCCGAGCGGAAAGCTCCACGTGCCCGCGCGAGCTCCCGGCCGAGCCTCCAGCTCGGCGTCCCACTGCTGAGGAGCCGATCGTCGTCCGTCGTCCGTCGGTTCTCTCGAGGAGCCGAGCTCTTTGGCCGGCGACGCTGCAGGACGGCGCGCGCGCACCCCCCCCCCTCCCTCACCCGCGCGCTCTTCCGCCGGCGGCGCACACGCACG